CCCCCCCCCCCACACACACCTCACCTTTTGGCTGTACCTCCACCTCTCCGCCTCTTCCCTCCTTATCAATCCGCTCTCCAATCCCGTAATGCTCTCATCCACCGCATCCTTCAAAGCCACAACCAGCACATCGGCTTGTTGAGGCGATAGACCCGTAGCTTCCAAACGCGTAGTCAGCGCGTGCGTATCGAAAGCTGCGGCGTGCGCAGAGCTTGTGTTGCTGAATGCGCGTGCGAGGGCGGGAGCGAGAGCGGGCGCGAGGGCGGGCGCGAGGACGAGAGGAGAAGCACGCGCATTCAAGCGCACCAAGGTTGCACCTCGCGACATGTTTGCATAGTAGGGGCGAGGATGAGCGCGAGCGCGAGCGTGTGGTGGTGGGGAGTGGAAAGCATGAGTGATCGCGCGCGCGCGCGAGATCATGGATTTGTGCGCATGCGCGTGCGCGTGCGCCTCACGTGACCTGCTGCGACCTCCACCGTTCAAGCTCCTCTCCCGCCGCTTCAAGTCTCACCCCTCCGCTTCAGTTTGGAGAACAAGTCTGATTGCTAGTCACGCCGTCACGTTACGGTACTACAAGAACAACAGCGTGGCGACGCTCGAGTCTATTGCGCTCCTCGTGGGGGTTCGGTTCGTGTATGTTTGCGAGCGTGAATGGTTGGGTATACGCGCGGCGCGCTCCCCCTCAAAAGCGAAACGTAGAAGAGAGGCTGGGCTCGCTTGCATTGAATGATGAAGAGATGGGCCGCAGCGGCGGCGGCGGCAAAGAATCGTCGTGAATGCTGGTATTGTGATGCAGGTGCCCCAGCCAGGGAGAGGAAACGCTGGGAGAGAATAATGTCGAGCTGGGAAAAACGTCTAGCCCAAATCTGGAGCTGTACGCTTGCCTGTCTTGCACGGCGGATGGCAGCGCGCTCGTCTGTGGCAAGGAGGGTAAGGTGGGCGCGGGCGCGGATGTGGGCGCCGCGGTTGCGGGTGCGGTTGCGGACGTCACCTGCTGGTGATCGTGGTGATCGTACCTCGCATTCCTGCTCCACTTTGCACCCGAATCGAAGCTCGCGGCGCTCACGGCGCTCGCAGCGCTCGCGGCGCTCCACTTTGCACTCGCGTCGGTCGCATCGCCGCCCTTTGTCGGACTTTTCGTCCCCGTCGCCCTCGTCTGAAAGCTGAGTCGACTCGGGTCGCGGCGCTCGAGGGCGCAACGAATGCCATAGTACACGCGCACGCGTCGAACAAAAGGCGCAACATCCCGCGGCAAGTCGTCTTCCCTATCGCACCCATCGATGTGCGACTGCACCATTTCGCGAATCTCCATCTCCCAAGCACCGTCGTTGGCACGTTTGGCAGACGGGAATCGCGTCCGCATGCGTTGCTCAGAGTTTGGACCGATGGCCAGGCCGAGGATGGCGCCGCCGCTGAATTGCTCCGCCTCCATGCCCCTCGTCTCCAGTGGGTTTTCGGCGATGAGGGCGCTGATGATGCCATAAGGCGTCTCGGTGACGGCTAGAACGACGTCGTACTGGTGACCAGCAGCAGCGAATTGCTGAGGCGTCAAGCCGCCGAGAGCTCGACGCGCACGACGCAAGCTCCAGCCGCGCAGGATTCGATCAATGACCATCGGAGCGACTTGACTACCATCCTCGGTCGAGTCTTTGCCCAGTTCATCCTGCAACTGCATCGCCTGCACACCCTTGACCAGCTCGCCGTGCGTGATGCCGCAAACGATTTTGAGTTGGCGGTGAAAGTGAAAGTGAGAAATGTTGCAGCTGTCGGCGCTATCCTTTAAGCTTGCGCGCGGAGGTGCGCTCGCGGCGGCCACGGCAGCGTCCAACGATGACTCTTCTTCTTCGCGCGAGCTGCACACGAGCTTGCGAGCGATTTCGCCAATCCGAATGGCAGTCGTATTCACCACTCCATCTTGATCCGCATGGCAACGCTTGCAAGCCTTGATATCCTTGTTCGCAGCGAGTCTCGCGACGCCGTCGGGCTTAAAGTGATATTCGATGTCTTCGCGAGCGACCTTTTTGTCGGCAGAGCACGAAGGGCGACAATAGTGTCGCGTGCGCTTATTGTAGTACACAAAGACGCTGTGGGGGTGCGCGTGCGTTAGCGCGCGCGCGGGTTCCACGTCGCGCTCAATTCTCTCCACTCACTGATCGGCATAGTGACTCTTCTTTGCCACCTTTTCCCACATCTCGTCATCGCTGCCGTAGGAAAAGAATTCGCGCATGGGTTTGAATCCTTCGTAGTTGCAAGCGTCGGCAGCCAGCACGCGAGCACGCTCATCCAGCTTTCGCTTCTCCTTGGGTGTGAGCCGAGCGGGCGTTGCGTACTCGTGGGCGTGGGCGTGCTGGACGTTGCGGCGCTGGTACGGCGAGAGAGCAGCATCGTGTGCGCTCTTTTCCGTGCTTCGCCTTGCACGTAGAGGTCCGCCGCTGTACTGCTGCTGCGCGATGCTCGCTTCGCTGCTGCCGACGTGGCCGCTGCTGCTGCCGACGTGGCCGCTGCTGCTGCCGACGTGGCCGTGTCTGTAGTTGTAGACTCCAGTGATGTAATTGTTGCGATTGGCTCGATGGAGAGAGTCGGTAAAGAGATCCTGTGGGCGCGTGGGACTGTCATGAACCGCGTGCGCGTGCGCGTGCGCGTGCGCATGCGGTAGCGCGAGCAAAGGCGACGAGGATCGAAGGATGGCGTTGGCGTTGCGATTGGCGTTGCTAGTCTTGTTGCTGTAGTTGGCGCCACCATAGTGACGAGGCTCGCTGGCGCTGAGGCCACCGTAGTGACGAGGCTCGCTGGCGCTGAGGCCACCGTAGTGACGAGGTTGACCACCGACGAGTCCGCTGGCCACGGTCACCTGCGCGGGACTGGGTGAGGAGTCGGCAGCACCGCGAAAGGTGCTACGATGCGCAGGCTCTGTCGAAGGCAAGACGTAGGAATTCCAGTATGGACCGGCTGCAAAGCCAGCATGGGGTGTTCGCTCGATGCCTGCTGCTGCTGCCGCTGATCCCCCGCCGAACCACGGCTGTGAAAGCGCCGACGACGACGAAGAGGAGGATGCTTGCGGCGGGGTGTTGGCGACGAGTCGAGCTTCGCCGACGTTGCCGGCGAGTTGTGCCAGAACTTGGCGACTGTCAGGTTGAGGTTGACCGCCGGTCATGGAGATGGCCAGACCCTCCACGCCTCCGGCGCTGCTGTTGTTGTTGTTGTTGTTGTTGTTGTTGTTGCCGACTGCGGACCCGCCGATGGGCGCAAAGTTGCTCCATGGCAGAGGGTATGACGACATGGAGCTTCGTGGGATGGAAGCTGCGGTGACTTCTTGGTCGTCGTCGTCGTCAAAGTGGCTGCGTCGCGCGCGATCCGGTGCGGGATGATGGGGATGGGGATGTGCTAGCAGGGTAGAGCTGGGCACAGACATGGGTGGCGAGGCGCGGGTGTGCGTGCTCGCGTGCCGGGCGTGCTCGCGTGCTTGCGCGCGCGTGTGTGTCAGGTCAAGAGTCGGAGAAAGGCAAGCTGTTGCGTAGCAAAACAAAGTGACGCAAGGAGGGGGGGGGAGGATGTGACGAGTCAGCAAGCTATATACCGTGACGCAGCGAGTGCGAGCGTGTGCGAGTGCGCGCGCAAGCGATAAGGAATCGTGCGTGCGTGCGTGCGTGCGTGCGTGCGTGACGTGCGACTCGGATCGTGATCAAGATGATGGGGTCGCGGATTCGCGATTGCGACCCCTCCCCGCACTCGCGCGATGTTGTTCGGTGAATGTCGTTATTGGCTCACGCTGACCGTGACAGGGGTGGTGTGTGTGTGGATGGGCGCTTAGCGTCATCACGAGCAAAAGTGGACGGACGACTTGCCCCATCGAGCGGGGCGCGAGACAGCTAGTCAGCACGATGCGTGCGCCATCGCGGCCGGCGAATCCAGCAAAAGCTCGGTCGATGTAGCAATTCGCGACGACGACAGCACGAATCCGAATCGGGCATCCCAAGCCTCCATCATACATGGTTCGTATAATCGCGCAAAAAGTCATACGATCGCGCGATGAGATTGCCATGGCCGCGCGTGACAGCAGCAATAAGCGACGCGCGGACGCGACTGCATGCTCAGCCCGACCATGCTAAATGCGTGGTCGGGCTGAATGGAAGCCAAGAGCAAGAGCAAGTCGGGTGCGCAACAACCGTCACGAGCCCGACACATACCCGGGAGCAGGTCGGGTGCGCAACAACCGTCACGAGCCCGACACGCACGTCGCGGCGAGCAGGTCGGGTGCGCAACAACCGTCACGAGCCCGAGACACCACGTCGCGGCGATTGCGTGCGTGCATGCGTGCAGGGTCGCCCAGCCGCAACGTTGGATACGCGCGAGTGGATCAACTTTTAGAAGGGGCACGAGCGCGCTAGACTGCGCGGTGTGCTCGATCGATCGATCGATCGAGCTAGCAAACGCAGCTCGCAGCTACACCTCTCCTATCTCGATCCAAAGCGTGCTGCTGCTGCTTGCTTGCTTGCTTGTTCTTCGCGCACGGCGTCTTTCTTTGCATGGTGTGGCGCGAGCCCGCGCGCGCGCCGCGCGGAATATTTCCATCGAGGCAATTCGTGTGGCTGGCGCTAATTCGAGGCGGCGCAGCGCCAGGTGCATGCGCATGCGCAGCATGAATGATGCAGCAGGCGGCTCGCGAGCGCGCGGGCGGGCGGGCGCGGCGACAGCCCCGGGCAGGGTCGCGAGGAGAGAGAAAATGCACACGCTAACGCAAGTTGGACGTGCGTGAGTGCATAACGCGCGTCGGTCATTGCAAGCGCGGCGCGGGCGCTCGCGGGCAGTGCTCTGCCGCACCTGATGCATGTCTATCCGTGCTCGCGCATGCGCGCGTACGCTTGGCGCTCATCTGCATGGTGTACCGGTGTACCTACGGTAACCGGTTCCGAAAAAGCCATTCACCCGAACAACGAGGGCGAGGGCGAGGGCGAGGGCGAGGGCGATAACATGGCACTCGCGCGAGCGCACCCACGATCGATCTACTCTACTCACCCCTCTCGATTCCCCCCTTGACGCCACGGCGGCCAACGTGTTTGACGCTTGACGTGACGTGTCGCCGGCAAAAAGGCACAGCCGCTCGAAGCGTTGGATGCGAAACGTACCGTAGCGCGGCAGCAGCTGCAGGGAGGCAAAAAGATGCGTGCGAACGGGGTGTTGCGTGCGCGCGGGCGCGGGTGCGGTTAGCTATAGCTGCGTTGCGAGTGGCGCGCGAGTGAGATTCACGATTGCTTGTGCGGCGGGGTGAAGGGGGGAGGGACGCTACGGATGGTGGTTGAGAGGAGAAGAAACATGACAGGAGCAAGGGACGTCCCGCTTCGAGACCTTGGGGAGCATGTACATAGCGCCATTTTGAATCGACGCGCGCGCTTTGCTTGCCTTTTTCGTCGTCGTCGTCGGATGTGCTTGCGATCGAGGCACGGATGGATGCTGTGCTCGCGTGCGTGTTGCGGTGTGCTCGCGTGCGTGTTGCGGTGTGCTCGCTGCGCGACTGCCCGCCCCACGACCTGGAGCGCGACGAGTCGCCCACGTCGACACGCTCGATCGCACGCACGCACGTACACAACCACTCACAATCACACTCACGACTGTCTCACTCTTCTGTTGCTATTTCGCGCTCTCAGACACGCAAGCCCCCATCTCCCAATCGCTCGTGCGCCGCGATTGCCGATCGAGCGCTTCTCTGCTGGATGATAGCACGAGCACGCGTCGATTTCGCCGCTGGCGTGCAAGACGCACACGCGGGCGCGCGCTCAACTCCGCTCCTTTAGCTCGCTGGCTCTTGCATATATTCAGGCTCAGCTCGCGCGACGTATGCCTGATTAAGCCCTTTTTTTTTGCATAGGCACCCTGATGCTCATGCAAGTAATTTTTCCGCGGCTTAATTCATCGCGATGCGCGCGTGCGCGCCCTGCTACACAGCATACACAAATATTCAGAAATCACGGATGTCGGCCGCTAGAGCTCATCCAGTGGCACAAAAAGCAATCGTGAATCGTGCGACGTGGATGTGGGCGCGCGCGCGCGCCCCCCCCCCGCCACGTCGTCATAACAATCACAAACGTAGCGCGCGCGCGATGGCATGTCTCGTCAGAAACAAGATGCGCCGCGCGCGCGTGGGATTGTGCTCGTCGTCTTCATCATCGGCACGCGCCCGCCGCGAGAGCCATACCAGACCCGCGCGCGCAGTCGCGCGCCCGAGCTTTCGTTCGACGTGGGCAGAGAGCCGAGCGAGACAGCACGCACGACTCTCGACTCACGACTCACGACTCACGACCCCTAGCTGTGGACGTCTCGTCTGCGACCGCCGACCGTGCGCACGCACGCACGCACGCACGCGTGGACCGATTGCGCGCCTAGCTGCACCGCTCGCTGATGCTGCTGCTGCGCGTCGTTGGAGCGGGCGGGGCGGTGTGTGTTTAGCGTGAGGACTTTACCCACGCCTTGCGCTTTCGTGGCGGGCACATCTCGCACGTGAGCGATGCGGCGATGCGACGATGCGACGATGATGCGACGATGCGACGATGCTCTTCTGAGACATTTCGACATGCACAGCGTACGTAACGTGCATTCAGAGATTCCATCCAAGCTCGGCGATCGACGCTCGTATAGTGGCCGGGCGGCACAGTCACGAGTTCGGAGCGAGCAAGCAAAAGCAAAAGCAAAAGCAAGCAAGCAAGCAAAAACTCGATCTCCCGCACGCGCGCGCGATTGAGCAGCATCAGCACGACACGCAACCGCAACCGCAACCGCAACCGCAACCGCAAGCGCAAGCACGTCCGCAATCATCATAGCTTGCTTGTATGCGCGCGCGCGGTTGTTACACGCACGCACGCACGCACGCACGCACGCGCGCTTTAGCGTGCGATGCCAAGGCGTTGAGCTGCAGCAGCAGCACCGCACGCGCTCGTCTCAGCTAAGCGAACCGACGCTTCGGAAGAAGCGATTCCAAAGCTCACCCCGCAAGCGCACCCGCTTTGATTTGCTGCTGCTCGCACTCGGTCACGCTCACGCGAACGAATGGCTTTCTTTGCTTTCACCGCATGAGCATGTGTATTCGTGATTGCTCCATCATCTTTGTCATCCGCTCGACGGTGGATGCGCGCCTGCGCGTGCGCGTGCGCTTCATCAGCACCTGCGCTGTGCGCTCGCTCGCTCGCTCCCTGGCGCCAACTCTCGACTCTCTCACACACGCACGTGATCATTCTCTCGATGCCTGACCTTCCTTTCTGCTAGCGCCGACGCCTCCCCTCACAGCCTCTTCCAGCTCGCCCTTTTGCTCCTCGTCCAGCTCCACGCCTTGCTTCGCCTCTTGACCGCTCGCCTCACGCCCGCTCGCCTCACGCCCGCTCGCTTTCAGAGCTGAAACCCTCTCGGCATTGCGCTTGGCCAACAATCGGAGCGTCGTTGCGCGCTCAGCCTCTGACAATTCTTCCCAATTGTTGATGCGAGAAATGCTCTGCGGGCAGGCAAAAGAGGCGAGGATGAGCAAAAGCGGTGAACTTGTATACGCAAGCGGCGAACTTGTATACGCGCGCGACGATTGGCAAAAGCTGTGAACTTGTATACGCGCGCGACGACTCACTCCATCCGTGTTGATCTGTTCAACAGCGCGAGAGAACGGGTCAGCAGGCGGCACTGCGCGCGCGCGCGCGCGCGCAAATGCGCACACACACACTCACCACGACTGGTCCCAACTGATCCAGCTTGACATCCGGTCCGCCAACGCGCAGCTCCCTCTTGGTCTGCTCATCGGGCGCAGGCAAGGCGAACCGTCGACTGTGACTGCTGCTGCTGCTCCCACTCTCTTCTTGCTCGATCGGATGAGAGGATTCGGTGCGCGGATCGTGCGCTGCACCAGCTGGATTGCTGGGTGAGAGCGCGTCTTGTGCGGAGATGGACGTGCTCATCGGAGCGCCGACGTGGTGCCTGCTGCTGCTGCTGATGACGCTTCGTGAGGTGCCGTCCCGTAGAGCGCAGACGTGGTGCCTGCTGCTGCTGCTGATGACGCTTGATGTGAAGAGATGTCGGAGGCAATTCATGCGAGGCAGATTGATGACTAGGCAAGAAGGTGGTGGTAGCAAAGTCGTGCCGTGTCGTGCGCACGCTTGCGCGTGGTCAAAAATCGTGAAATCGTGAATCGTGAATGTTGAATGTGGAGCAGCAGCAGCAGCAGCAGCAGCAGCTTTGCTGCACGCTGACAGCAAGCGTCGCCGCCACGCACGCACGCACGCACGCACGCACGCACGCACGCGCTCTCGCACGAGAGACCCTTGCCGCAAGCGCGCGCGCGCGCCCGCGATCGAGTGGACACTCACTCAGCAATCGCGGCCCGCGTGTAGACGGAGGCGCTCGCTGCATGATGATTTGTCAATCGCGAATCGTGAATGTGAATCGAGCGTGACCATCATCACCACCAATCCATCGATCGAGCATTCGCGCGAGACACATCCACAACGTTGCCCGCTCGCCCGCTCGCCCGCGAAACCCATTCACACACCACTGCTCGCGCGCGCTCCCCCCGCTCGCCATGCCTCCTCGCAGGGCAAATTCGGCCGCTACGGGTGGAACACGTTTCGGCACCGCATCCAAAGCGCGCAGCAGTTCCAGCAGTCAAGCAGCAGCAGCAGCGGCAGCAGGAGGAGGCAAGAGTAGCACCAAGTCAGCAACAAATGCGGTGATCAGCGCAGCCAAGGGCAAGGCGGGCAAGGGCGCCGGGAGTGCACGCGCTGGGAGTGCAGAGATGGACACGACTAGTTCGGATAAACAGAGGAGCTTTTCGAATTTGGAATTGGAAAAGGTCAAGGATCTGCCTCACCTCGATGTGGACGATCCCGTGTATGACCAGCTTTGGATGGAGACGAGGAGGAAATTGGGAATGCCAGCCATGAAGCCTAGTGAGTGGGGGGCGGTGCGTGGGTGTGCATTACGCACGCACGCACGCACGCACGCACGCACGCACGCACGCATGCACCTTTACCTCCAGCTAACCCTCGCTGATACGCTCTTCGCACCCGCAGTTCACGTAGAAAAGGATTCTCGAGTGCAAATGATGCTGCGCACATTCGATTGTGAGGTGTAAATGTGGGGGGCGCTGCGTCGACCTATCGACTGAATTGAATCTCTCCTCGCGTCGTCTCTCTCCCCGTCACGTCACGCCCCAGTCGATCCTCTTTTCGGCCCGGCACTAGGCATGACCCGCTTGCAGAGATGGCAGAGGGCACACAATTTGGGCGACGAGCCGCCAGAAGAGATCAGACATATGCTCTCGACCAAAGAGGGCGTACTCTGGCCCGAACTTCGAGAGCCGGTCTTGGCAGGTATGGGCGTGTAGGGCCGGGGGGGAGAGGGGGCTGCTGTGTGTGGGCGTGTATGCGGGCGTGCCGGCGCGGAGGACTTCGATGGATGCGTGCCGTGACGCCATCACACGCGCCCGCGACACCATCTCGACTTGCACACGCGCGCACTGCCAGCGTGTATCTTGGAATACATGAGTGCGACCGTGAGAAGTTTGCATGAAGGAACGCGCGAGGCATCACAGAGTGCGCGCCATGGTCAGCTTGTGCGCGTTGCGTGACTCGTGTGACTTTTTTGCCCGAATGTCTTGACGTAAGGTGCGCGCCGAGCATCGACTCGACTCGACACGACTTGTGTGCGCATTGCATTGCGTGAACCGTGCTCGCCTCTACACCGATTGGGTCGAAAGCGAGCGTGAATCGTGCTTGCCTCTGTACCGATTGGGTCGAGTCGCGAGTCACGAGTCACGAGTTACGAGAGCGCACGACGATGATGGCCATGCAAGCAGCACTCAGACTCGCACTCGCGCGAGTTGCATGCTGCTTAATTGCTGCACGCGGAGGCCTGCTGGGGACGGGCCGTGCATGCGTGATGCGCTTCTCACGCGCGCAAGCGACCGGCCCACCGGCTTTTCGTGCGAAGCGAACGCGCGCAAAGGCAGGCAGGCAGGCAGAGGCGGGGGCAAGCAGGCGACGGCGGCGCGCGGCGAGGGGGACGATTTGCGCTGCATGCTTCCTGATGCGCCGACCAGACCATACCATACCAGCTCAATCTTCATCTCGCGGACGATCACTCCAACTTGATCCTCCTCCATCCCGCGCACACACGCACACGCACACGCACACGCACACGCACACTAACCCCCCACAACCCCCCCAATGGTGCCCCGAATCCTCCCCCGCAGCGCATCTCGCACACGTCGATCGACGTCGTCCAAAGGCTCATCTGCCCGCACAGACAGCGAAGAGTCCTTTAGGGCTCGATCTTCTGATCTGTTGGGTGGAGAGCAGGGCCGCGAACCCACTTCCGAGGATCCCTCCAGCGACGCTGTAACGACGCGCGGCAGCCCACGCCAGCAGCAGCAGCAGGAACCGCAAGTGGGAGCGATCTCGGAGGAGGAGGAGGAGGAGGATGAGAGCGGAGCAGAGTCTCGGTCTCGGTCTCGGTCTAGATCTCGATCGCTGCAGAGCAAGACGGACGTCAGTTGGGAAGCTCAACCTGCCAACAGCAGGGTTGAGAGCGAGGCGATGACGACGACGACGGCGGCGGCGGCGACGGTGACGACGACGGACGAGAGGGGACCAGACATTACCGCAAGTCTTGACGTCGATTGCTTGGATGTCAATCTGTACAGGAGCAAGGTGAGCGGGGGGCGCAAACGTGCGCGCAGGCAACGACCGACGGTTGCTCATGACGCTCGACTCGACTCGACTCGACTGCTCAGGAATTGTGGGTTCCTGCTCGAGCGAGGGGCGTCTTTGGTGGCCAAGTCATCGGTCAAGCCGTCATGGCGTCCAATGCTACAGTCAGGGAAGACGTATTTTTGCATGTGAGTGGGGGGGGGGGGGGGGGGGGGGGGGGGGGGGGGGGGGGGGGGGGGGGGGGGGGGGTAAGCGAGCGCGAGCGCGTGGAGGTTGGCGCACCGCCGATGCTCACCTTTTGTTCTGCCGTGCTACAATCACCCTCATCAGTCTCTTCACGTGAGTGACGCACGCATGCACGCACACGCAACAACCTGCTCACCCTACAATCTCCCCCCAAGTGCTACTTTTTGCTCGCGGGAGACAAGAGCGTGCCCATCCTTTACCACGTCAAGAGACTTAGAGATGGGGGATCGTACGTCACACGAAGCGTAGAAGCCGTACAGAGGGGCAGATGCATCTTTACCATCATGCTGGTGAGTGCACGGGTGTGCACGCGCGCGCGAGCGTGAGCAAACCTGACCGCCCCCCCTCTCTTCTGATTCTTCCGCCCCCCCTCCCGCAGTCCTATCAAAAGCCGGAGCCCGCACAACCAAGCTTTGCTCTGCCCCTTCCGCGTCCTTCAGGAGGAGGAGGAGCAGCAGCAGCAGGCGACGCGACGAGCATGAGCGGCAATCCGGCCCTCTCCAACACTGCGCCTCCCGAAGGCCTGTACACTCCCGATCGAGCTCCTTTGAATGAGGATCGGTATATTCGCGTATTGCGCGAAAAGGGCAATCTGCTGGACGAGGGCTTGAAGAGGACGTTGCAAGGCTGGATAAGGGATAGGCAGAGAAGCGCAGTCGAGATTCGGTGAGTGGGCGCGAGCGCGGGCGCGCACTCACACTCGCTCTCGTACTCACGCTCGCTCTTGCACTCACTCTCGCACTCACGCTCACGCTCTCGCACTCACTCTCGCTCTCGCACTCGCCCACCCGCCCGCAGCGACGCACTGCCGGGCATGTACGATGCCAATGGGCTTCCCACGGCGGGCTACGAGCAAGCGTTTTGGATGCGGACGCGCGAGGCGATCGTGGGAGGAGACGATGAGCAAAAAGCAGCGCTAGCATACGCCTCCGATTTCTACCTCCTCTCCACCATTCCCAAAGCGCTCGGCAACTCCAAACGCATCAAGATGATGGCTTCGCTGGATCACTCCATGTGGTTCTACGACTCGTTCGATACGAGCCAGTGGATGCTGTTCGTCATGCAGACCCAAGCGGCCGGAAGCGGAAGAGGCGTGGCCATGGGTCGAGTGTACAGACAAGACGGAACGTTGGTAGCCGTCGTCAGTCAAGAAGGCCTCGTCAGGGGCAAATTGGACGCGGGTGCGGGTGCGGGTGCGGGTGCGGGTGCGGGTGCGGGTGCGGGCGCCAAGCTCTGACGGTGTGGTTTGCGAAACGTGTCTCGTGTAATGATCATATCGTCCAACAAAAGGAAAGGCGATCGATCTCGCACGAGTATGTCGTGCTTGCGTGCGTGCTGGATTCAGCGTCAAATGGGTCACTGAGATTCGCGATCATTTGAGTGCAAGGCTCGCCCTTCGTCGCACAACTTGCTAATCCGCTACGCGCGCAAACATGGATATTCTCCATGCCGCTTGCGCGGCGGCAGCCTAACCCTAACCCTAACCGCGGCAAAGCCGCACGCTGCTACGCAGCGAAACCCTAACCCTAACCCTGGCGAAACGTGGCAAATCAAAGCTTGATCTGTTTATCGCGACGTTCAACAGATGGAATCAAAAATGCGAATCGTGAATGGAAGTGAGAACCTACAAAGCATCACAGATTAAGCCCCGCGTACGTGATCCTTGCTCAGACGAATCGAAATCACGAAGTCAAAGTAAATCCTCATCAACGTCCTCGTCGGTCTGTTGATCACGTGACTTTAGGTGACGAATTATCGTCGACTCGCGCTTGCATGCAGGCACGGAGCGTGGCTGTGTCGAGCAGGAGCCGCGAGCGAGAGCGAGCTTCGCCCCGCGTGCGCGAGCGCGTTGGAACTTTGCCCATCACCACGATCACGATGTGTCGCGAGAGGCGAGGCGAGGCGAGTCGAGTCGAGTCGAGCGACAAGGCGAGCGAGCGCCCCTTTCGATGACGGACGACTGGACGACGGGGCGACGGAACGACGGATGCTAAAGAAGGAAAACGACGGCATCGCAAGGCGCCCTCACGCGGGCCACCCTGCTCACCCCTCTTTGTCGAGCGCATCGCACGTATATACCGCCGCGTCTGCGCTGCATTCCGCGCTATCCGAGGAACATTCCTTTTTGGCAAACAGCCCGCTCTGAATTGACAGTCTAGCTCATTATTACTGGCACTCTATCGCTCGCTCGCTCGCTCGCGTAATGGCTGCCCTCTGCTCCACGCCCTCCACGCCCTATTCGGCAACCTCATTTGTCGGACCTCGGGTCGCCGCGCTCATTCTCAATAAGCCCTCTCGTATTGCAACGATCGACAGAGATCTACACGCGGCACGCGTCGTCGCACCTGTTGATGCGGACGCGGGGCCATGCCGATCCGTAGCCATGCAGCAGCTCTACCTCGACGATCAAAGCATCAGGGGCGTCGATGACTCTCCCTTTCGTCTGCGCGTGCACGAGCGCGCTCACCATAGCTAGTCCAGCTGGGACCATGGATGTTCGCGCATAGCATACATGGCATCCCCAGCCACGCCGAGCCCCGGGACTCCGGACTAGAAGAGAAGAGGGGCCGCCGCCGCCGCCGCGATGATCTTGTCGATGCCGCCGTCGTACAAAGATCGACTGCATTGGCTGGCGCTCCGTTTCTGCAGGACAAGCAATGCTCTCTATCGCGCGCCGCACCGCACCGCCGCCAATCCAATCACGAATCTTCACCTTGGTCTCGTCGATGCAACTCCGAGCCATCATCTCATACCTCGATTCGTCTTGCGTGCGCGCGCGCGGCAGACAAAGGCGGGCGGGCGGGCGCAAAGGGGAAAAAGTTCATTGCAACAACGACGAGCACACGCAGGCGAGGGCAGACATTCCCGCGCCCGCGCATACCTCGTCGAGGCACGCCGACGACCGCCACCGCATGCTGATGCTCGCAATGCTAGCGATGCGATGCGACGACGCTCTGACTGCTCTCCATGCAAGGCTGAATGGATTGGAAACTCTGACTGCGTCTTGCGCTGACGTTGGTCGTACCTCGGTTCTTGTGAGGCACGAAGAAAAAGAAAAGATCCCCCTCGGCACTCGCCGCTTTCGAAGATATAAAAGGCATCACATCACGCACACTCTCACGCCCAGGCTCACTTCAACTCTCCAGCCCTTCGGCAATCTCTTTCGCGGTGGCGACACACACGCGACACACACGCGACACACACGCGACACACACGCGACACACACGCGACACACACGCGACACACACACGCCACACACGCGCGACACACACGAGACACACGCGACACACACGCGACACACACACACACACACACACTCTCTCTCTCTCTCTCTCTCAGAGCGCACCCATTGATCGGCTCCATTCCAGTTTCTTTGCTGGCGTGCCCTCCTTACACCCCAAGTCGTCTTCGTCGTCGTCGTCGTCGTACAAACGCAACAGGACAATTTCCCGCACACCCCTACCCCCCACATTAATCTCTCCTCCGTCGCGACGCTTACGCTCTCTCTCTCTCTCTCAAGATGCACAGCAAGGCCATCTTTGTGGCCGTGTGCGTGGCCTTCTTGATCGCTTCTCAAAGCGTCGAGTCGGCTGGACTGCTCTCCTCTCATCAAGTCTATCGACGTCGATCGGAAGGCAGTCAGCGTTCCAGATTCGACCGTCGACACATGGCTTCTCAGGACGCTTATGCTTTTGGTGGTGGAAGCGGTTCTGGATCCGGCGGTGGCTACGGCGGAGGGCCTGGCGGTGGTGGTGGTGGTGGAGGCGGCGGCGGTGGAGGCGGAGGCGGAGGCGGAGGCTTCATCGCTAGCGATGGCAGCGCCAAGAGCGTAGGCTTTGGTAACGGATCCGGTGGAGGAGAGGCCAGCGGTTCCAAGACTGCCAAGGCTGGCGGCTCTAGCGCTTCCTCTAGCTTCTCCGCCACCGGCTTTACCAAGCACGAAAAGACCACCACCTCGACGAAGCACGGCGCAGGCGCAGGCGCAGGCGCAGGCGACGGCTCCAGCAACAGTGCCAGCAACGGAGCCAGTAACACCGGCTCTACCCAGCAGCACTCTAGCGGCAACGGCAACGGCAACGGCAACACGTCTCACGGCGTCAGCAAGGGTCAAGAGCAGCAGCACAGCGTTCCCGCCGTCGTGCCAGCCGTCGCGCCAGCTCACGACACGTCCATCAAGGAGGACAAGGAGCAAGAGAAAAAGGAGAGCAAAAAGAAGCACGACAAGGAGGACAAGTGCGAGGAGGAAAAGAAAAAGGAGGCGGAGGAGCAGAAGCAGAAGCAGCACGCGGAGCAGCACGCGGAGCACCACGCTGAGCAGCACGCGGAGCAGCAACAGCAGCACCACTCTACCGAGCAAGGGCAATTGCAGCACCAGGTCGATCAGCAAAAGCAGCTCACTCAAGAGCAGCAGCACAACATCGACAAGCAGCACCGCATCGAGGAGCACCAGCACGAGATGGAGCAACACCACCTCAAGCAGCAGCAGCACAAAGAAGCGCACCAGCACGAAATGCAGGAGCACCACCACCACCACGAGCACCACGAGGCTCAAAAGACGACACAGAAGCACGTCGAGCAGCAGCAGCACCACACGGAGCAGCACGGTGCCGGCGCTGCAGCCGGAGCAGGAGCTGGCGTCGCAGGCGGCGTTGCGGGCGACGCCGCCGTCGGTCACGCAAACGGTAACGGTAATGCTGCTAGCGGCACCACCACCGCCGCCGCGAACAAGCAGGAAGAAGAGGAAGAGTGCGAAGAGGAGGAGGAAGATGAAAAGCCACCAAAGGCACCGTCGCCGCCTAATCCCCCACCACCTTCTACGCCGCCATCGCCGCCACCGCCAGCGAGTACTCCACCGAGCGCTTCTCCTCCGGCCGGCGAGCAGCCTCCTCCATCGACACCGCCGCCAGCGAGTGCTCCTCCAAGCGCTACTCCTCCGTCTTCGTCAACGCCGCCGCCATCGACGCCGCCTCCGGCCAGCGAGCAGCCTCCTGCAACTCCTACCGAGTCGCCTCCGCAGCCCAAGAGTCAGCAACCGCCTGGAACGCCTGGTGGAGACAGCTCTCTTCCACCAACCGTTCCGCCGGCGGATCAGCAGCCGCAGCAGCCGCAGCAACCTCAGACGCCCGAAACTCCCAAGCCGACGGTGACGCAAGAAGAGAAGCCACCCGAACAGCAATCGAATGCTGGTGGAAATAGCAGCACTGATAAACAGAGTGCGGAGCAGCAGCACGAGGAGCAACACGAGGAGCACACGGGCGGAGATCTTGGCAGTCAGACGGACAGCAAGCCACCTCAGCCGACGCCCGAGACGGCGCCACCCTCGACCACGCCACCGACCACGCCGCCGAACACGCCACCGACCACGCCTCCTCAACCTTCCTCCGTGACGACTGGCGAAAAGGGCTCGGAGGAGCACCACGAGGAGCAAAAAGGGAGCACCGCCACCGTGCCGCCTCAGACCAACAGCCCGACGGACACTGCGCCATCTGGACAGCCTGTCAGCGCCGGCGGCAGCAGCAGCAGCGCCGGCGCCAAGGCTTCTGAGCACCACGAAGAGGAGCACCACGAGCAAGAACACCACGAGCAGGAGCACCACGAACACTCTGCTAGCACCGAGGGCAAGCCGTGCAACAAGGAAAAGGACGAGAATGGCAAGTGCGAGTGCGACAAGTTCCAGATCAGTGAGTAGGCAGTAGCAACTCGCACAAGCTAGCTACGCTCACGTCGCGTTACGTCGCCTTTCGCAGCCATCGACTACTCCAAGAGCACAAACGTGTCCGATGCGGCCAGAGAGGAATGGCACAAGGTTTGCGGTCAAGTGTCTGGCAAATACCGTCTCACTGGCGACGACTTTGAAGACATTGGTTCGAACAAGGCGAAAGTCACTTGCATCACCAGCTCCACGGATGATGCGACCAAGAAAGTGTGAGTGGGTGGCGCGCGTTCGTCGATGGATGGGGGGGCCAAATGGAAACATGCTGACGTGCCGTGCCGTGCCGCCCCTGGCTTTTGCATTCGACAGTTCTCAGCACGACTTTGCTCTGCACGTCGTCCAGAAGCTCAAGTGGGAGGTCGTTTCGAGCTCAAGCCAGAGTTCTCAGACTGGCAGCGGTGGCGGTGGCGAAGAGGCCAGCAAGGAGGCCAGCAAGGAGGCCAGCAAGGAGGCCAGCAAGTCGTCTAGCGCTGCTCCTGCTCCTGCTCCCCCTCCTCCCGCCGCAAACCCCGCCTCGGACTCTGCACCTAACCCCAAGCCTGATGCAGCGAATCCCGATGTTGGCACTGGCGGTGGCTCATCGACGGCTACGCTTCAAGGACAAGCAGGTGCAGAGGGGACGAAAAAGGAAGACAATTCAGCAGAGCAATCGCAGCAGCAGCAGCAGCAGCAGCAGCAGCAGCAGCAGCAGGCGAAAGAGTCTTACGAGGCGCACAAAGAGGAACAACACGAGGAGCACAAGGAAGAACACAAGGATGCTCATTCCGACGACTCGCACAAGGAAGAACACAAGGATGCTCATTCCGACGACTCGCACAAGGAAGAACACAAGGATGCTCATTCCGACGACTCGCACAAGGATGCTCATGCCGACGACTCGAAGCAATCTGAAGCAGCGAGAGGCAAAGCGGCTTCAGGCGGTGAAAAGCCGTTCGCGGAAACGTCTACCAAGACGGGGCAATCGTCGCAAGCCGATGCCAAGAGCCACCCTAGCGATGCGAAAGCGCACGGCGGTCAATCTGCCTCTGCAGAATCTGCCTCGGCTACCGAAGGACAAGCCGCAGCGGGCTTCCACTGAACGGAGGCGTGTCGAGCGCGTCTACAATCAGGTCCCTCTCGCGCGCGCGCGTCGACCTTTCCGCTTTCTTTTTACCCCCCAACACACTTCGCAGGAGCCCGAAGTGAACATACATGACGTTCATTTCCGAGACCTCATACGCTCATTGCCGAAATACGCGATCCTATGGACTCTTGCATGGCGTGCACGTTTCGAGTGAGAGCGAGCGAGAGAGCGAGGGAGAGAGAGCACGATAAGCACGGTAAGAACAAGTGACCCCGCGCGCCCGCGCGCGGCTTTTTCTCACGAGCGAGATGCCCGAAGGCCGAGTCGACGCGGCAAGCATGCATGCAGTACGGTATATATATAGCGATATCTAGAGCGCCGCATGTAAAATCCTCGCGCGCGCTGTGCGCACACTCTGCCCGCTGCTGCACGCACTGCACAAGCCTTGAATTACTGCGCGTGCATAGAGTCGCGCCTCGCACGGACCTTTTGAGCGACCACAAAATGCGGGGTTGTAAGTCGCGGCGCGGATGAACCCCGCTTTTAGGGCGTGTGCGCGCGTGCGTGCGTGTGCAGCGCGAGGTTGCACAGCATGGAGCGATTGAGATGGTCAGCTTGATTGATTGATTGCGATCGAGCGGGCGGGCGAGCGAGGGATTGCATGGCATGGCACGGCATCCATATCTCACGTCCTCCCCAGCGCACGCGCGCGGCTACATAAAGCCCACACTCCTCGCGACTCGATCAGGTCGTGAGTGCACGCACGCACGCACGCTACACTCGCGCCTCATCCTCGAATCACCCCCCCCCCCCCCCTCCCACTCTCGCCCCCAAAATGGTGCTCGGATTCGGCGCAAAGTCTCCTCTCAAGACGGATCCCAAGACTTTCGCTTCGCAGGCCTCCGAGGCCGCGCCCAAGAGCTACGATTACGGTGAGCGCGCGCGCGCCGGCGCACCCGCCGTGGAGATGCAAAACCTGACGTTGGCGCTCGCTTACCCGTCGTCGCCGCCCATGCACCCGCCGCTTCTCTGTCTCCCGACCCGCCAGTGATCATTGGAGGTGGAACGGCGGGCTCTGTGATCGCATCGCGCTTGTCCGAAGATGAGAGCGTGACTGTATGCCTGCTAGAAGCTGGAGGAGATAATGGCGGGTGAGCTGGGGTGGTTGGCTCATCAAGCCAAAAGACGAAAGTCTGACCACGCGCCCCGACAATCCCCCCACAGCGTCCTGGAGAGCAAGATTCCTGCAGCGTTCGGCAAGCTTTTCAGAAGCGCTCATGGTGCGTGCCTCGCTCCAGTGTGACCTCGCCTCGTGCTCATCCTCGCGCTCGCCCTCGCAGACTGGGCTTACGAGACGGAGGAGGAGGAGGGTTTGGGGAATCGCAAGGCTTTCTTGCCACGCGGACGCTTCCTGTGAGTTTGCTCGGACGTCCAAGTACAATGCACCGCTCCAACGCACCGCTCCAATGCACCGTCCGCACACGCCCACCCCCCCGCAGAGGCGGATCGAGCTCGATGAACGCCATGATGTATCAACACCCAGCACCTAGCGACTTGGACGAATGGGCTCAAAAGCTCGGTTGCAAAGGCTGGTCTTACAACGACATCAAACCCTACCTCCGTCGAGCAGAAAAGTTCAACGTCAATCCTCAGCGTCCCTTGATCGATACATCTCATCGAGGCGATGAGGGTACATGGCAGACCGGCTACTCGTATCTTACCCCCATCATCGAGCACGGCTTTTTGCCCGCCTGCGAGGCAGCTGGAATCGTGAGTCGGGGAGTAGCCGTGCTGTGCGCGAACACGCGAGCTGAATCGTGCGCGCCCGCTCTACCCCCACAGGCCGCTTCGGAAGATGTGAACACGCCAAAGGGGCCGCTAGGAGTGACTCGCTTTCAAACCTTTATCGACTCGAAAGGGCAACGATCCAGCGCTGCGACTGCATATCTCCCACCCTCGGTGCAGCAGCGCAAGAATCTGACAATCGGTTTGAACGCGCACGTCAACAGAATCATCATCGACACTTCCAAGGGCGCTGCTCAGGCGATCGGAGCAGAGTTTCAAGTCGAAAAGGATGGCGTCAAGTGGCACGTGCACGCCAACAAGGAAGTCGTGGTGTGCGGAGGAGCATACAACACTCCTCAAACGTTGATGCTCTCCGGCATTGGACCTGAGGAGGAGCTGAGCAAATTTGGCATTCCCGTCATCCGTCAGAGTCCCAATGTGGGCCGCAACATGTACGACCACCTGGCCAGCGGGCTTTGGGCCAAGGCGCTTCCGGGCAAGACGCTAGACTATCTCGGCAGCGACGTAAAGGCGCTTCCTGCACTCGTGCAGTGGCTCACCACCGGTGGCGGACCCATGACGACCAATGTGGGCGAAGCAGCGGCATTCTTTCGCACATCGGAGCTGGACAAGAATGTGACGGATTATGGATCTATGGGCAAGGGGCCCGATGCGGAGATCATCGGTGCACCTCTTGCTTTCCGTCATCATGGCGCTGTGCAGACGCCCAAGGTGAGCCCTGCGTGCGGGCGTGCCCGTGCGTGCGTGCGCGAGCGCGAACGCGAGCGCGAACGCCAGCACTCACGAAGCTCACCACTGTCAACGTTCCTTGCCACGCACAGGGCACTAGCAGCATGTCGCAAGCCATCATCGGGCTGCGACCCCTCAGCACTGGTACGGTGACGTTGCGATCTGCCGATGTTTGGGACAAGGTGAGCGGGCGGGCGTGGGCGCGGGCGCGGGCGCGGGAATGTCTGTCTCGCCTGCGTGCGTGCGAGCGCAGCTGACCTCACACACCCCCCCCCACGCAGGCCATCATCAAGCACAATTACTGGTCCAACCCGCACGACGTCAAGGTGCAGCTGGCCGCTTTGCGCAAAGCGATGGAGATCTTCGAGCAAGACTCGTTCGACCACTACCTCGACCGTTCTTATGAGGACGACGATCCAAACGGCTTCTGGTGGCCTTGGTCCGTGCGGGACAAGAGCAAGATTACGGACGAGCAGCTGATCGACTTTATGAAGAAGGAATCCTTTACGCTCTACCACCCCGTAGGATCTGCTCGATTGGGCTCGGATGAAGCGTCGGTGGTGGATCTGCAGTTGCGCGTCAGGGGCGTCAATGGTCTGAGGGTGTGCGACGCTTCCATCTTTCCTCAGCAGATTTCTGGACACCCTACGGCTACGGTCATTGCGATTGCGGAAAAGGCGTCGGATCTATTGAGAGGCAAGGTTGCTGCGAATGAGGATGCCACGCAGAGCGTCGCTGTGGCCAGCAGCGGTGCGGCGGTTCAGCAAATCGCTGCTTTGGCGTAATCGCGGAGACTGGCCCCAGATGATTTTTCGATCTTGTCCCGACCCACTCGTGACTTTTACGACTCTTCTGTACGTACCTGACCCCCCTGTATTCAATTACGAATCACGTTCGAGCGCGCGCGCAACTGCGCCAAGAGTCGCAGCGCAGCAGGCACGCACGCGATATCCGAGCTGTTTTGAGTGAGACGTTGCGCGATGCGGGCTTCAAGCCACTTTTTGATGCGTGCGTGCGTGCGCGCGTGCGCGTGCACCAGCATCAGCAGCAGTCACGAGTAAGCGCGCGCGCGCGCGCGCGTGTGCTGGGGTAAGGCCAGCCAGGGCACACCGTAAGCCATGCATGCAGAGTGCTTGCACGCACGCACGCACGCACGCACGCGCGTGCCGAGCTTGATGTATTCGCTCTCCGCCCCATGCACTACGTGGCACAGAGTGCGGCTGGTGAAATCGCGCGTATAGATAGCAGTTGTTGTGATGATGATGATGATGATGCTCCCGGCGAATGCGTGTGCGTTGTGATGCCCCCCCCCCCACTCGAAAGCCAGCGCCATCATTGCAGTTTCGATCGCGGGTCGGAGTCTTGCGCGCGCGCGCGAGCGGGCACGCAGCACATGCGCGGTGTGCGCGCGGTCCAGCATGCAGTCAAAGTTGAAATCGCGCGCGTGCGTGCTCGCGCGGGAGGCGTGAGAGCAGTGGGAACACTTTACGCGTCTCGAGGCAGTAGCGCATGCACCGCGTGCAGCGCCGGTAGTGCATGATGGTGCGTACGCGCGCGATGCCAACGGATCGAGCATGCTGCATCCGCGCAGCAGCAGCAAGAGAGAGGGGAATAACCCCTCATCCTTCGCGCGCTCTTTCCCCGACGTGCAGCAGCAGCAGGCGGTACGCACGCATCAGCTATAGCTGCGCTGCTGCTCCAGTACAGTCAGCGCGTGCTGCGAACATCACCCTCTGCTTGCGTGCTTAGGCACACTCGCACACGCGCGCGATGCAGCGGCGGGCCTCCGTCGCGCGCGCGCGGCTGCTTGCGTGGGTTTGAGAGGCGCGCGGCGGAGGGGCGCAGTGTGGTCCCGTGCGCCGTGCGCGCATGCAGCGGAGAGGGTCCTTGCTGATATATGCTGTAGCTAGTGCGCGCTGCGGTGCGCCTTTTGATGGATGCTGCTTGCTGCGAGCGCGCCTGCCCGCCTGCGCCTGTGCCTTGCTCAACACTCACGCTGCTGCGACTCGTGATTGCCTCCCTCCCCCCCCCTCGAGCATATCCCGATCGAAGCTATAGCTGCTCCCGCCCGCCCAACTTCGCCTCTTTGCCGGCCTCAACCATCCCCCCCCCCTCACATCACCGCCTTTTTTTGGACCATCGCAAACCACGTCTCCGCGACGCGATCGAAGGAGACCGCAGCGTGCGCATCCACAGCAGCTAGCAGCCAAGGCGTAAATCGCGATTTCATTCTATACCGCACTCGACTCGACGCACCAAGATCTGATTGGGGTGCTTCGCTTCGGTGCTTTGGCGCAGCCATATATACATATATAGCCCACTCGGCACGGACGCGCGCGTCTGTAGACTCGTCGCGACGAGTCGTGAGTCACGACTCACGACTCACGACGGCGGGCGGGCGGGCAGGCGGCGGCGGCGGCGGGCGGCGGTGGCTGCGTGGCGACGACGACGACGAAGGGTTCGAATCGAAAGTCAATACGCACGCACCACGCACCACACGCACCACACGCACCACGCGCCCACCACCACGTCTCATTTCGCCGCTCGCTCGTATCGACCGCATAGGATCAGTGTGCAGAAGAAGCACACTCACACTCACACTCACACTCACACTCGCACTCACACTCGCACTCACACTCACACTCGCACTCGCACTCACACTCACACTCTGCTCGATCTCGTTGGCTTGACTCGGAAGCGTCCGCAGCGCAGACCGTCATCAGCAGTCACGCGCGAGTATATGCTATACGCTGGCGTCGAGCACGTCGACGGCGCAGACGAGACAATCGCCAGCAGCAGCAGCAGCAGGAGCAGCAGCAGCAGCAGGAGCAGCAATCAGCGATTCGAAACACCGCGCGGCTGCTAGATATATATATATAGCTGCCGCTGCTCCCGTCGCCGCCGCCTGCCCGCCTGCCCGCCTGCCCGCCACGCCGCCGCATCAGCCACTACAGAGTCAGTGCGCCGCCATCTGAGACCAATAGAGTGACGAGTCACTGCAGCTAGTGGCCGCCCCGCCGTACCCCCGTCATCTCACATAGCTGTTCGCGCGCCGGCCTCGCGCGAGGCAAGTCCGAACATCCTCACATCCGAGCCGAGCTCACATCCGAGCTCACACTCGCGCACCCTCACACCCTCACACTCGCGCATCCTCGCGCACCCTCGCGCATCCTCGCGACCATGTCGGGGACTATGCTGCACGCTTCACCCTCCTCTTCCACCCTAGACCTCTCGCAGTTCGGCACGAGCATGGGTGGTAATGCAGGCGAGGCGTCGACGACGACGACGACGACGTACTTTGGCGGCATGAGCAGCCACGATTCCTTGGCCGCCTCTTCGAACCCCGGCGCTAGACACGGCAGCATGAGCCATCAGATCCATCCCATGCCATCTGCAGCTTTCGATTACGTATCGCCCAATGCAGTTGCTGGCCCAAGCGGCAGCAACATGCACACGTCAGGCTGCGGCGGCGGCGGCGGCGGCTTGAACGTAACGCACGCTCTGCCTGCGCGGCACCATTCCATGCCCATCGGCAGCATTCGCGCTGGAACAGCACCCAATTCGCCGGCCACGTTTGGTCCAAGCGCGGCATCGAGCGCGGCATCGAGCGCAGCAGCAACGTCGGGGGTCAGCGGCAATGGCACCTATCTGTCTGCCAATTCGCCCCATCGAATGGGCGTCGGCAGTCCGGCCAACTCTTCAGAGACGGGCAGCAGCGGCATGAGCGGCAGTCCGCAGCAGATCAAGCAGGAAATCATGTCCATGGGGCCTCCTGCTCCTCCCCGCGGCGGCGGCATGCCGACATTCGTCGCGCGCAGCGATAGCATGGCGTCGCTCGCAGGAGAGACTTCCTTTGACTTGCCATCGCCCTCCTCTACACCTGGCAGAGCAGCAAGCAACGCAGCGACAGCTGGCGGCATGCTGCACCCTGCCGACTCGCACTTGGCGGCTCTGGCAGCAGGCGCGGGCGTGGGCGGGGATGCAGCCGACGGCTTCATGAGCAGCGCAGACATGGCCCACTTTATGTCGACGGGGGATGGTGACAACAACAGCAACAGCAACAACAATGCTGCTGCCGCCGTCGACGCCGATCCAAACAGACCCAGCACCAAGTTTGTGCACAAATTGTACCGCATGGTGTGCGATCCCGACTATCAGCACCTCATTTGTTGGAACACAAACGGGACGAGCGTGGTGGTGACGCACTTTGACGAGTTTGCCAAAGAGGTGCTTGGCAAGCATTTCAAGCATTCCAACTTTTCCAGCTTCATTCGGCAGCTCAACATGTGAGTGTGGCGCGCGCGCGGCGTGCATCGCCCCCTCTCACGCGCCCCCCTCTCACGTTTTCTCTCTCTCGCGCCCCCACACGCTTTCCCAGGTACGGCTTTTACAAGGTCAACAAGACCCCCCGTGGACACCGAAACGCAGTGGATACGCAGGTCTGGGAATTCTCGCACCCCAAATTCCTTCGAAATCGACCCGACTTGCTGGATGATATTCGACGAAAAGCGCTAGACTCGGAGCACGCTCGCGTCGAGGCGAGAGATTTGCAGTACAGCGTTTCGGTCGGGCAAATGCACCTCCGAGCTCAGGTGGACGAGATGCACTTTCGATTGGACGAGTGCTTGGAGACCAACATGAGCCTTCGAGGGGCGCTCGTTAGCATGAGGGAGGTGCTGGGTGGCGTGCTAGATTGGATCAAGGTGCAAAATGGCGGCCAATTGCCGTACGAGCTGAGAATGATTCGAGCGGACATTCCCATCCCCAGTCCCATGGCACCCACCTGGCAGGAATCGCCGTGGATGAGCGGACCGCCTAGCGCCGCTGCCGCTGCTGCTGCCGCTGCTGCTCATCCGCATCACGATGGCCCGCCCATCTTTGTCACCGAACCGCCTCATGGTGGCGTCATGGCAGGTCCGCCTCAACACTCGCCCAATCCCAACATGCATGCTGGGGAAAGCTACGACGCATTCTCGATGGGAGGTCTATCGCAAGTCAGCCCGTTGGGCAGCAGACGCGTGAGCGCAGAGCAGCCAGAGCTCATGTCGCAGCCAGAGCTCATGTCGCAGCAGCAGCATCCTCAAATGTCCTTTGATGTCAAGGGCGGCCGATCGATGCCCAATCGGCAAGGCTCGTTTGGCGACGGAGCACCGCGAGGCGGACCAAACTACCCCACTGCTAGGCCGATCGCGGGCAAATCGCCTGTTCCCAATGGTTTGGCCATCGATACGACGAGCGCCATGTCTAGCCATCACTCGCCAGCCATGCAGCAGCATCTCGCCGGCCAGCAGCAGCATCAGCAGCAGCAGCAGCAGCAGCAGCAGCAGCAAGGCAATCCAGGCTTGGGCGTCGGCATGATGAGCGTTCCACCCTCGCCCATCTCTCCGCAAGTGGCTCAGATGATGACGGCGATGAACACCCCTTTGCCGCCTTCGCCCGCTGTCGCGAGCGCTGGCAACCACGCTTGGTTGGATCCCTCTGCTGCAGCCATGTCCAGCGGGGTCAATGCGGGCTTTGTGCAGGGTCAGAGCAATCCGTTTGACATGCGGCACGCACACGCGCACGCGCACGTGCACGCGCACGCTCCCCAGAGCAATGCTGCCGCTGCCGCTGCCGGTATGATGCATTCGCCCACGTCGCCATTCTTGGCGGGCACGCCTTTTGGACAGGGAGCCATGTCGGACCCGTTCTTGGGCGCGCAAGCTGGTCCGACCAACAACGACGACGATATGCTCAAGCCAAATGTCGCCAAGAGCAGCAGGACGACGTTGAAGAGGACGGCTAGCTCGAGCAGCTCGCGCAAGGCTGCTGCTGGTGGTGGTGGCGGTGGTGGTGGTGGTGCTAGCAACGACGATCTGGAGCCTCCTAGTCCTGGAGGGCAAAAGAGAAAGTCGCCAGTGTAGTCACGCTCGTGATACAATGGTGTGCGCGCGCGCGGCGCCTGAACAATTGCTGCAACTAACCGACCGCGCGCGCGCGCGCGCGAGGTTCCCCGCAATTTCGACATCAAACCTCTCCCCTGCCCGTCACCCATCACGCATCACGCCCGCTTATGCGAGCGATTTCGTCTTCACGCGCTACCTTGCCCCAAAATGACCTTCTCCCCTCTCTCTCTCTCTTGCGCGCGCGCGCCTTGCTTCACTCGCGTCTCTTGCGTCTCGTAACATATACATGTCTTTAAAAGTGCCGCTGCCGTACTGCATGCAACCTACTCGTCTTGCTTTCTGCTTCTGTTCTGCGGGGCGGCTTCCTCTTCGGCTCAAACGTTGCGTGCGCTGCGCTGCGCTACATACACCCAACCCACCTTGATTGGCTGTGCCGTGCGAGATGCGAGAGATCACGACTCACGACTGAAGCGATCAAGCGAGCGTTGCGCGCATTGCTGGCTGGACCAGTCCCCGGCGCGAGTCGCTAGCTAGCTAGCTATATAGCGCAACGCGCGCACGCAGCAACTAACCAAGAGAACTCGAGAACTCGAGAAACTCGAGAACTGGTAAACTCGCACTTGCACCCGCTGATAATTGCATGCTGCTGGGGCGAAACGACGCGACACGTGCGCCGCGCAATTCTTGCCCATTGTCCAAATGCGGCTCTCGCCTACACACCAGCACCCGCACTCGGCTCTTGCACCCGCACCCGCTTGCACATGACGCCTGATCGTTTTTATTTCCCCCAAATCGAGAATCGAGAAATCGTCGCTCGCTGCACAGGGAGCTCGCCCGAGCCCATGCGCTCTCGGTGCTGCCCACCCACCCACCGCTTTCTGCATGGCCTCGACTCGTGACGAGTGTTCGTTCGCTCCTTGTGCAGACATCTGCGAGCCTTTTGCGATCACGGGGGTTTCAGCAGAGTGGGAAGAACTGGTTGGGGGACTTTTTCTTTTGCATGGGGTCGGATCGATTCAACCCCCGATCGAGTCATCCGTCGCACGGCGCGGCGCGGCGCGGCGCGGCGCGAATCGAATCGCTGCTGCAAGAATCATCAGAATATTTTTTGACAATCCGAGATTCTTCTCAAAACTCGATTCGCGTGGCGGCGCGCGCGCGCGCGCGCGATTGCTGCAGCAGCAGAAATCACGTGAATCTGCCATTCGCGCGCGCGTGCGCAAGTCCATGGACCCGACTTGGCGGGCGGAGCGGTTGTGAAGATGCGTCGCGCGCGCGCGCACACCTCCAACCCCCTCCACCCCATCTCCCACACTCGCGACTCGCCACCCCACCCCACACCCCACCATGGCCGCCGAATTGCTGCGCTCCAAATTGCCTCTGCTGGATGATCCCATCGTGGATTATCTAGCTGGATACGTCGAAGAGCCAGACGACGGGCGGGATGAGGTGTTGCAATTGATCCGATCCATCTTGGAGAGCGCCACATTGACGGATAGCGAAGCTGCATCGGGTGCGGTGGTGGATGCGGTGCTGTTCGAACTGGCCGGCATGCTTCCCGACGCCGCCTCTGCAGACAGCGCATCGCTGCTCAGGCTGGACAGGGTGGTGGATATGAACAAGACGGAGCTCAGCAAGACGGTGGGCTTCGATCAGGGCAACGTGGACATTGCATCTGGCACCACGCTCAAGGCCCGCTCCAACGTCGACGTCAAGGCGTTGGAGAAGCAAGAGAAAAAGACGAGGGCGAAATTGGCAAAGAGGGCGCAGAGGGACTTGTACGAGACGAGCAAATTGGTGGAGAATGCAAAGAGGCAGGAGAGCTACGAGGAAATGTTTCTCAAGGTCAATCCCATCGAGAATGCGGCAAACAAGAGCAAGAACAAGGATGTTCACCTGCCAAACATCGACCTCTCCTTTGGTTCCAATCGTCTCTTGTCTGGCGCTTCATTGACGCTGGCTCAAGGCAGGAGGTACGGCTTGATCGGCAGAAACGGTGAGTGCGTGCGGGCGCGAGCAAGAGGCGGTCCGTAAGGGAGCAAGAGGTGGTCCGTGAGGGAGTAAGAGGTGGTCCGTGATTTCCTTCAAGCTCTGGCCCATTCCTCATCTCGCGCGCGACTCGCTCGCGACTCGCTCGCCCGTGATTCCTGCAGTCTCTGCTCCATCCCTCATCATGCGCACTCACATCTCGCGCACTAACCCCCCACAGGCACGGGAAAATCGACATTGCTGCGCAACATGGCGCTGCGAGAGATTCCCATTCCCACCCACGTCTCCATCCTCTACGTGGAGCAAGAAGTCTCTGGCGAATCCGTCTCTGCTCTCAATGCCGTTCTCAAAGCCGACGTCTGGCGGGACAAGTTGATGAGCGAAGAGCAAAGTTTGAATGCGGAGCTCAGCAAATTGGAAAAGGATGCGGCTGCTGCTGTTCGAGCTGCAAAGGACGCTGCTGGAACGCGCGACGATCGCGACGATGATGACGACGCTGCCGCTGCCGCTGCCGCCACTGCTGTGGATATGCCTACGAGACAGAGGGAAATTCAGAGGGAAGAATTGACGGCGAGGTTAGGAGAGGTGCAGGCTAAATTGGTCGACATGGAAGCCGATACTGGACCCAGCAGAGCTGCTTCGCTCTTGAGTGGTCTGGGCATCCTGGACAAGGATCAGAGCAAACCCACATCGTGTGAGCTGCAGCGCGAATCATGTCAAGCGGCGCGCTCTTTCACTCAACGCACTTTGCCTCTCTTTCGCTCGCTCCCCTCGCTCCCACAGCCTTCAGCGGTGGTTGGCGCATGCGTATCGCCCTCGCAAGAGCCCTCTTTTGCAAGCCCGACTTGCTCATGCTCGACGAGCCTTCGAACAGTAAGTGGAGATGCTGTCCTTTGAGGCGCAGAAATCGGAGCTCATCGCCTGCGGCTGCTAACGCCACCTACCTCCCGCCAGTGCTGGACCTCAACGCCATTGCTTGGCTGGAAGATTACCTCGTCAACGAGTGGCAAGGCACACTGCTCGTCGTCTCCCACGACAGGTCCTTTCTCGACACGGTCGCTACGGACATTGTGCATCTGCACTCCGAGAGGCTGGACTACGTGAGTGCGAAGCCGATGAGCAAGCTTCAGCATTCGTTGCGCGACAGGCGCCGTTGCAGTCACCTCGCTTCAGTCGTTGGAGCGCTGGCTGGGGCACTTTTACGCTTTGCTCATTCGCTCGCTCGCTCGCCCGCTAACATGCAACCCGCCCACGTTCACAGTACAAGGGCAACTTTACCCAATTCTACGAGACTCGAAGCGAGAGGAGAAAGAATCAGCTTCGCGAGTACGAAGCTTCGGTGGCGAAGCGGGCGCACTTGCAGGCCTTCATCGATAGGTGGAGATACAATGCGAACCGAGCAGCTCAAGCTCAGAGCAAAATCAAGGAGCTGGAAAGGATGCCAGAGGTGGAAGCTCCAGAGCAAGATGAGGTTGTCAAGTTTAGACTGCCCGAGACGGACAAATTGCCACCTCCGCTCCTGCAATTGGACAATGTGACGTTTGGCTACACGCCAGACAAGATTCTTCTCAGAGACGTCAATTTTGATGTGGGCATGGAGAGCAGGATCGCCATTGTGGGCTCCAACGGTGCTGGCAAATCCACCCTCATGAAATTGCTCATGGGCAACATCAACCCCATCAGCGGCGACCAAAAGCGCAACAATAGGCTTCGAATCGGATACTTTTCTCAGCATCATATTGATCAGGTGAGTCTGCGAGGTGCGAGGTGCGAGGTGCGGCGTGCGGCGTGCGGCGTGCGGCGTGCGAGGTGCGGCGTGCGAGGCGCATGGTGACCGATTCGTGTCCCCCCCTCTCTGCTACTCCTCTCGCAGCTGGATCTCACAGTCAGGTGAGCTGGGGCCTCTTCCCGTCTCTTCCCACGCAACAACTCACACTCTGCCCCTGCTCGCAGCCCCGTCGCCTTTCTAGCAGCCAAATTTCCGGGCAAGTCTGTGGAAGAGTACAGATCTCACCTGTGAGTCGTCTGATGCCGCACGAGCGCAGTGACCGAGCCGTCGTCGCGCCGCTCAACACAACACGCCCACCGCTTTGCTCTTGCGCGCGCGCCCCACGCCACGCCAGCGGCGCATTCGGCATCAAAGGTCCTACCGGCCTTCAGATCATCGCGACGCTCAGTGGAGGTCAAAAGTCCAGAGTGGCCTTTGCGCAATTGTCGCTGATGAGACCCCACGTGCTGTTGCTGGACGAGCCGACGAATCACTTGGACATTGAAGGCTTGGACGCTCTGATGGACGCCATCAAGGCTTGGAACGGGGGCGTCATCGCCATCAGCCACGACCAGCGTTTCATCCAAAATTGCATGGATCAGCTTTGGGTCGCTGATGCCGAAAAGAAGACGGTCACGCAATTCAGGGGCGATGTGGAGAGCTACAAGAGCATCATCATCGAGATGAACAAAAAGTTGCAGACTTCGCACAGTTGACGCGCAATGCATGCAATTAGCCTTGCATCGTCACGCGCCCCGCTTCACACGCTCATGGCCATCTTGATGGCGGGACACGGATCGTAGCCTTGCACTTCAAAGTCGTCCGTCTCGAAGCTGTCAATGTCGGGAATGCGCCTCTTGAACGCGAGTTTCGGAAAGGGTCTAGGTTGCCGCTGTAATTGAGCTGCGGATGAAGGTAAAGGTGAAGGTGAAGGTGAAGGAGAGCAGGCGGGCGAATGAGAGCAGGCGAAGGAGAGCAGTTGAAGAAAAGCAGGTGAAGAAAAGCAGGGGTCAGAGGCCGGCCCACACCCGCACCCGCATCCACGCCCGCTGTGCTCACTTTTGAGAGGTTCGACGTGGTCCTTGTAGACGTGCGCGTCGCCCATTGCCAGCGTCAGCCTGTCGGCCTCGCAACCCGTGACGTGGGCAATCATGTGCGTCAACAGTGCGTAGGATGCAATGTTGAACGGCACGCCCAAGCCCAGATCGCAGGACCGCTGATACATTTGGCACGACAAAAGAGGCTTCTCCGCCCCTCTTCTTTGCGAGACGAAAAATTGGCAAAACATGTGGCACGGAGGTAGAGCCATCAACCTCAGGTCTGTGGTTGCGTGCACGAGTCAGCACGTGGGGCTTTTGCGCATGCCGCTTCGCCGACGCTACGCACCTTTTGGGTTCCATGCGCTCAGGATGATTCTCCGATCTGTTGGATTGCTCTTTATCTTGTCAATCACCTCGGCCAGCTGGTCCACGCCCTTGCCGCTGTAATCGTCATCGCAGTGCGTGTACTCGGCGCCAAAGTGTCTCCACTGGAAGCCGTACACTGGGCCCAAGTCGCCTTCCCTGCGCTCCTTTAACCCGCGCGAGTCTAAAAACGCTCTCGAGCCATTGCCGTCCCAAATGTGCACCCCTCTGTCGGTGAGCAGCTGAGCGCAGTGGTAGAAGCACGGAAAAGGTGTCTCAGCAGCTGTCTCCGAAAGGACCGACTCGCGCTGCCTACTCGCGCCCCCTACTCACTTTAGAATCCGTCTTGCCAGCTACAAACCACAGCAGCTCCTCGAGGATGCCCCTCATAAAGACTCGCTTTGTAGTAAGAAGCGGCAGAGTGCCATCTGCAAGCGAGAACGACAACGAAGGCTGGGGCGCAAACAACGCCAAAGTGCCTGTGCCTGTTCGATCTCCGCGCGCTTCACCGCTTTGAATGACGCGCTGGATCAAAGACAAGTACTGGTGCTCTTCGTGTTCGGGCGGTTCTGGAGCAAGTCGACACACGGCGCGGTCAGCGGCGAACAACTCTTGCCTTGCGCTTCACCGCCAACTCACTAGGTCGGGAGTCGGGTCGCGGGCCAGTCTTGCTCGAGAAGATGCCTGCTATTGTAGGCTCCTGGAAGCTATGATGAGCGTACGACAGAATGGCTACGCCGCCCGCATCGACTTCGAACAGCCTTCCATTCGTCAAAGGTAGGCCAAGCCAGCGAGCAATGAAGCAGCTAGCGCACGTCAAGAATCGAGAAAGCGAGGCGGAGAGTGTACATCAGAAAGCGAGGCGTCAACTGTACGTCAGAAAGCGAAAAGGCGACTGATTGGACTTTCTCACGCACCGATTGTAGTGTCCGTGTGCGACCAGAATCACATCGCCGCCCCGCTTCATCACATTTTCATCGTGCGTCGTCTCTGGATGCCCTTCGATGACTGCCTTTTGAAGCACCCGGATCTTTGCAATGACACCATCCACCCTGTCGGACATGTGCTGCGCGCTCTCCCCGGGCAAGTCTGGATTGGAGGGGTGATTGGGCGTGCCATCATTCCAAATGTCCCAACCTGCATGCTTTTCCCTAATCTCGTTCGTCTTCAAGCCTTCGTACGCCCCGTAATCCCACTCTCTGCACTCTTGCAGCGTCTCTACAGGCACTACGGCATCCCGCTCCTCCTTGCTCAAGTGCGACATCATCAGCTCCAGCGTTCGTTGAGATCTCTTCCTGGGACTGCAAAAGATGTGCGAGACGTGACGAGGGTCGACCAGCTTGCTGCCGTCCGTTCCCACAAATGTCGGCGCCAAAGCGAGCATGACGCTCTCGCCATGAGCAGTCAGTGGAATGTCGCTGCGACCAGTGTGCTGGCCCGACAGCGACCATTCCGTCTCGCCATGGCGGGCGAGAATCACTCTAGGCATGCGAATGGGTGGAGGCACCATCCTGAAGCTGGGCGTGGAAAAAGAGGGTGGCGAGGCGGGTGTAGTGATGGCTCTGGGCCTGGAATCGATCGAATGCCCGTGCTGCATCGCTACACACGAGCGAACAGGGGCAACCATCAGCAAACGCGCTGCTAGACTTGCACGTGCACTTCGCTCATCCGAGGCGCGTCACGCCGCGTCGCGTCGCGTCGCGTCTCGCGTAGAGTGATGCATCACCGCAAAGGCAGGCATGCAGCATGCCGCGGTGAGAAGTTGCGAGTTCGATATAGACCTAGCGTTCAGGCCTCTGCTGCCTGAGCTCGCCGTGCTGGGCAGCGCGCGTGCGAAAGCGCGTGCGAGATGCCATCGTCTTGGAGCGAGAGGATCTAGACGGTCACGAGAGAGGCCGGCAGCGCGGGAGGATCTATATAGACGATCACGAGAGAGGCCGGCAGCGCGAGAGGATCTATACAGCGATCACGAGAGAGGCCGGCAGCGCAGGATGATGGAGTTTACGCACGGGACGGCAGCGCAGTACGATGGAGCAAAGGTCAAGCTTTCAATCCCACGAAGCTCAAGCGACTACTGTACCGGTACAAAAGGATGGCCAGCCGAAACAAGAAGCAGCTGGCCGTGCCTGGCAAGGGTCGAGCTGCGCACGGGACGCAAGGCGCTGTTCGAAACTCTGTGAGCACAAAAAAAAAAGGCAAGCCATCCGGGATGCGCCCGCCACTCACACGCGAGACGTCATGCACCAGTTGCGAATGCCCTAAGCTCAAGGGCTGAACTTCCAGTTGGTGGCTAGCACCACTGTACTAACCAGCCCGGGCACGAAAAACCGGCAGAGCGCGCGGTACATGTAACCCAAACCATCGCGCTGCGCGTTTGACCTCATCTATATCTTGCAGACCCCTTCTGAAGCTGATACCAAGCCGGTCAAGTGCCTTGCGCATCAGCACGCCGGCGTTGTTGACATACGCGGCGCCGAGCGCGGACCGCATTGGCGCCATCACAGTCGTGACTGCGGTGCGCCCAAGGTCAGCTGCTGCATGTGCTGGCTGCTGGTTGTGCGCGGCGGGCGGGATCGCTGGGCACGGACCGCATTAGCGCCATGCAAGTCCGCCGCGCGCTAATGATGCAGCGCCGAGCCGCCGTGCGCGCGTTGGCGAGGGCCTTTCCTTCCTCACTACTACCATCATCCCCACCGCGTCCCCCGCGAGCGGAGGTGTGACATTCGGAGCAGCCGCCAGAGGGGGCGGTATTCAGGGCCGTAAGCCTGAGACACCCATGGCCCCACTTGCACGCCACACGGACAGGGAAAAGTCCGCATTACGCGGACAAATCTATAGAACAAAGGCTTAGCCTCAGCGGATCGTAGCAACAAGGCTACTCTACCGTTTACAGCACCCCGTTCCCATTCAAGTCGTCTGCAAAGGATTTACCCCCGCCCATATTCGAGATTGCTATACGCGGACGAACCGGAGCGGCCTTTCCGCCGTCCGGCCGCTGCCCGCCATATACGGTGCACGGTCGCAAAGGACCTATGTGTAACACAAGTGACATGTGCGGGACCAACATCGTCGCTTCTGGCACGGATTCTGGCTTAGAGGCGTTCAGCCATTATCCAGCAGGTGGTAGCTTCGCCCCATTGCCCGATC